TATTCTTCTAATTTCACGACTCTATTCTCCTAATTTCACGACTCTATTCTCCTAATTTCACGACTCTATTCTCCTAATTTCACGACTCTATTCTCCTAATTTCACGACTCTATTCTCATAATTTTACGACTTTATTCTCATAATTTTACGACTCTATTCTCCCAATTTCACGACTTTATTCTCCCAATTTCACGACTTTATTCTCCTAATTTCACGACTCTATTCTCATAATTTTACGACTCTATTCTCCCAATTTCACGACTTTATTCTCCCAATTTCACGATTTTATTCTCCTAATTTCACGACTCTATTCTCCTAATTTCACGACTTTATTCTCCTAATTTCACGACTCTATTCTCATAATTTTACGACTTTATTCTCATAATTTTACGACTCTGTTCTCCCAATTTCACGACTCTATTCTCCCAATTTCACGACTCTATTCTCCCAATTTCACGACTTTATTCTCCTAATTTGACGACTCTATTCTCCTAATTTGACGACTCTATTCTCATAATTTTACGATTTTATTCTCCTAATTTCACGACTTTATTCTCCTAATCTCACGACTCTATTTTCATAATTTTACGATTTTATTCTCATAATTTTAAGATTTTATTCTCCTAATTTCACGACTTTATTCTCCTAATCTCACGACTCTATTCTCATAATTTTACGATTTTATTCGCATAATTTTACGATTTTATTCTCCTAATTTCACGACTTTATTCTCCTAATCTCACGACTCTATTCTCATAATTTTACGATTTTATTCTCATAATTTAATTGCTTTAGTCTCATAATTTCATGACTTTATTCTCTTAATAGAACAAAATAAAATCTAGCCTAGCCATAATACTCCGTCGGATGGAAACGTCACGCGCACAGTGTTTGGCTCTCTGGGCTCCACGCGCCGACCGACCGTCGGTGTTTCTGGATCCATCACTGATGTTTAATGACATTAGCTTTAGCCTTTTTTAGCTGCTGTTTAATAACAGTCGCCGCTTCCAAGCTTTCTAGGCTACACAGACACTGCGAAGCCTGAAATAAAACCCGCAGATATCAAGACACATATTTTATTAAACTAAAACTAGATCCAATAAAAAGCTTCATTCATATAAAGACTCACCTTTAAGGAAAGACGTTGAGGCTCCTTAACGCTTTGCAGCTGCCTCCAGTCCCAGCTGCAGTAACGACTTCTTCTACTGCTATACTTCTTCTTCGTGGGATAATTAGCAGCTTGTATCTAACGTTAAAACACATTACCCCCATCTACTGTTATGGGGTGTAGGGCAGAGTTTCTAGCATTTATATTTTTTTAATAATTTAGTTTCCCTTTAAAATTGTCGAATGTTTTATTTATCATTTCATGTTTAATTAAGTCGTTGTTTAATTTTAATCAATACCCACAATACTTCTTATTTTTAATTTTCTCTACTTTCCCAGTATTTTCACAATAAATAATAATATTCAGAGGTGAATTTTACTATTTAGTTCATGATTGTCAAATAGGAATGCCAAGAATGTCTCTGTGACATAAGGAGATATATATATATATATATATATATATATATATATATATATATATATATATATATAAATATATAAATAAAACCACTGGACTTTTCCAATCCAGGAAGCTTTTTCACATCAAAAGCGAAGAGAGCGTCTTCAAACCTAGAAAACAAGGTCCAGTGTTTTTTTTTTTTTTTTACTTTTTTGGAATTCTGTGCCCTGGATGACTGAGAATCGTCACCAGCATACAACATATTAAATGATTATTTATAGCTCCAAACATAGGGGTAAATTGAGCTAAATCAGGAGGTAAACAGAACACTCTGACCTATTTAATTTTTACAGATTAAACATGTGCATCACTTTAAATTATGCTACAAGAGCTTTTAAACTGTAAATACCAATTCAGAAATAAATAAAAAAAATTGTTCTAAAATATTGTGACATATATAGAGTAAAAAAAAACAACAAAAAAAACACTAAAAGTATATCAGTGTTTTTTAAACTCTACACATTCAACATTTTCCCATGTATTTTTGCAGCCTTTTGAGGAGGAGGTAGCATCTTTACCATTTTTACCGCAGCAGATCAGTTTCCTTATACTGGGATGTAGATTTAGAGAATGGCAGAGCTAGAGGACAAAATGAAAGAAAAACTAAATATATACACCTGAACAATTAGGTTTCCTTTAAAGGAGAAGTCAGCTCATATTCAGAATTCAAACTTCTGAAAGTACTTTAAATATGAAATTATTACATACTGTTCAATAAATGATCAGTGTTTTTAATTAAGAGTCATTTTCATCTGAACGTGCTTTACTGGAGGCATCCATGTTTGTCAAAGAACACTACTGCCACCTACTGGTTTGTGACGTGTTTCCTTTAAAAAAAGAGATAATTTCTCAGACATTCCACCTGATCTTATATTCATTAGACCTGATAATATACATTCCTGATGTTTTTCCTTCCTTGGTGACTGAAAAAGGGGTATTTCTGAGAATATTTTATGTTTTGCATTGAAGAAACCTCAGTTTCACTGTTTCTGGTTAATTACAGAACGTGTTTCTCTTGGATTATTTACTTTTTTAAACTGATTGTAGTTAAAGCCTGAGCGCCCAATCCGCAGTCGAGAGATTAAACTTTCTTTCTTTCTATTCCCTCCCTTTCCATCCATCTGTGCTCTGATTGGTTGGTTTACAAAGAGCAAAGCTGCTGAGCAAAGACGCATCATAGCAACAAGCACTCACTCTCTGAAACATCAGATTGTAGATATAGTAGGGTGACCAGACGTCCTCTTTTTCCCGGACATGTCCTACTTTTCATACCTAAAAAAGTCCGGGGGGAATTTCAAAATCTTGCTCGACTACAGCGCAACCCCGCAACGCCTCGGTCCGGTCCAGTCAGCGGCGCATCAGTCGACACTTTTGTCTGTTAATACCTAAATATGGCAAACATGCAAATAAAGGGAGCAAGCAATTTTTCACACACACACATATATATTTACTGTGTGTCGCAAATTAAAACAACCTTTCATCGATCTTTTCCACTTGTTTATTGTTCATTATTTTCATAACTGTTTGAAACGGTCGCAGCAAAGTGCAATCCTGATCAAAAAACAACATGAAGAAATCTCTCACACCTCAAAAACAAAACCAAAAAAAGCATCGGCCACTTTTATTCTAACTATCGTCTATAAGTGGTGTTTGACATTAATGGTGTATTATCTCATTCTCATTTACAAAGTACACACAATCAAAGACAACATACAGCAGTATTCATTTACACTTTTTTTTATCACTTTTTTTAATATTTGATTGCACATTTTCTATACTTACAAACAATCAACTACATTTTTCTACGGCACAGTACAGTGACAAAGGTGATAATTCTTTGTTACATTTAATTTATGGTGATGCGGTTTTATCGACAGAAGCTTCAAGACCAAGAGTCACACACACAGATGTTTACATTTTTCTTGTAATTTCACATCTTCATTAATGGGAGAGGTTGTTTTTTGATGTGATGTTGTGCGGCATAGATCTGAGCAGGCAGTTTCTTACACCAAAACAGCAGAAGTTGTGGTGAACTCAGAAAACGGAAATATTTACGCTTTAATTTTAATCATTTTAAGATTAAATTACGTGTGCAGCTGTTAGTTGGATTTGTCGGTTAAAGGTAAGATACTAACTACTCAGCCCTACTCCACACATCCATACTCCAGTTATGCTGATCAGTCCCTTCAGTGGGAAAAGGCCAGCATGTAGTAAATATGCTCCAATTTCCAACAACTTTTTAAGAGACAAACACCATGACACTTATTGCTTTGTTAACTTTTTGCACTCACGATTGACTGTTGCCCAGGCAACAACTTAATTATTTTAAAAAAACCCTGTAACATAGGCTTAGATATGTATGAGAGAGCTTTTAGAATTGGAGCCTAAGCTGTCACGTTAGCGTTTTAACAGCATTCTCTGCTTTATCCTGCCTTTGCTGCTCTTGACTTTATGTGTGACCTGGCGCACTATGCAGTGATCTTATATAAAGGTTGTATAGTTTCTGTGTTTCTACCAGTGTGCTTGTGTACGGTGTCCGGGCTGCAAACGCTGTGTGAATACTTGATTTCACAGCAAGCTTAAATGTCCTGCAAACTCAAAGATTAATCTAACAAGCAAAATGTTTGCAAAGGAAAAAGGTTGCAAGCAGCAAAAACAACAGCAATTTATGTTGCTCCACATAGCAGAAGTGCTCCAGACCACTAGAGGGAGACGTTCAACAGCTGCCTATGGTCACACCCTTACCCCAGGCTCACACCGACTCCGGTCTTACCGTTGCGGTGCGGTGGGTGCGGCGCCGCAGTGATTCCAAGTCATTAAAAAGACGTAAACCTCTCTCACCGGCTGCTGAGCTGTCCGGCTGCGGTTACCGAGACACTCCGGCGCTGCAGAAAATTCCGCAAGAAAGCTATCCTTGCGGCGTGCCGGAGCTCTCCGCAACAAGCTCTCGCAAATATCCTTATTTGGGCCGTGTTATCGCGTGAAGTTACGTGAACTCAAGTGAACTTCTGTTCTCGCGAGTTAAATCTCCGGACCTGTTGCCGGAGCCGCAGAGCCGCACCGTAGTCAAAAGGGCGGTGTGAGAGGGGGTGTGCGGGAGTTGCGGTCTCCGTCAGCTCGGTAAGCGCACCGGAGCCAGTGTGCGCAAGGGGTAAAGGCTGGTTTATGCTACGAAACCAGGTCGTCTGCGTGTGTCGCAGACGACCTGGTTCCCGCCTGCATTCCATCTAATGACCGCAGACAGCGCCGCAGAAAGTGTCGCAGGGAGGAGAGAAAGGAGGCCTCTGATTGGTCAATTCTACATCCCCTCTACATTATGCATATTTCCCGTTGGGTACCTAAAGGGCTGGTTATCGTCCCACAGCAGTGTGTCTCAGTTAGCTTGTCGCAGACATTTTTGATTTATGCCAAATATTGAAGCGTGGTCTGCGCTATGTTATTCCACACCGCGACGCGAGACAATCCTGGAACTAGCTGTGGGTCTAGATACGGCCGAGGCGGTGAGGGCAAGTTTATGCGACAATGGAGGGACAGGAGGGCCAAAAAGAGCGCCGATCCAGGTGGAAAAAGGGTCACACCCTGCAAAAACAATCTAGAAATAAGTAAAGATTTCTTATATCAAGTTTATTTACCCTTAATTTGAGTAAATAAATACAATGATTTGCCAATGGAATGGGTGTTTTTACTTAAAATAAGACAATGCAATTGTGTTTTCTCTGATACACTGTACCAGAGACTGCACCTTACCTGCACTACCTCAGCCTGGAACAAACTATTGCTGCTGTTTTTATTGCTTTTTATTGTAATGTTTATACTTCATATTTATATTTATCTTACCACTGTTACCTGTCATGTCCCGCACTTTATGTCAGTTTTTAAATGTCAGTCTTGTATATTTCTTGTATATTTGTATATTGCAGAGAGTAAACGTAATTTCATTTCCCTTGTATGTCTTGTACATATGTAGAAAATGACAATAAAAGCTGACTTGACTTGACTTGACTAAATTGTCTTGTTCCATTGGCAAAATGTCTCTTTTACCTCCTCAATCCAAGAACAAATGCAATTATTTTAAGAAAAAATGACTAGATTTTGATTTTTTCCAGTGCAGCGTTCTTCCACACCTCGCTCTTCTAGCTGATCCAACTTCACGAGTCATTTACCGCAATGGCGGTCATACAAACAAAACAAGCCGATAAGGTACCAAACAGGAAATACACTTAATACAGCGGATGTAGATTTGACCAATCAGAGGCCTCCTGTCAGCGGCACTGTCTGCGGTCACCTACAATTTGGGAGAGGTGCAGCAGAGTGTCTGCGGAAGGGGCGGGGGGACATTTGTGTTCACTGCGACCCCTACTAAGATGACCTAGTTTCAAAGTATAAATCAGCCTTAATGGCAGAAACTCTGGCTGTAGCGCCGTCAACAATGCCTGGTACACCTCGGACACTATCCGAGACATCGTGCAGAAATTAGCGTTAATTTATAGCTCTGTGCGACGGTCTGTTGGTTTGCAACTTTGCGGCGCTCTATCTTCTATGATTGATGCTTTTCTGTTTGAAGCACTGTTTGCTGTGAAATCACGTATTTACATCAGGTTTGCACCCTTTAGCCACCGTACTTCTGAGATATTGTGCTGAACATTTTGCAACCTAACATGCTAAATTTTTTTTGCTATCTGAATTTTTTTTTCAAGTCATAGCTCTAGGATTAGGGCACCTGAACTGTGCAGCAGCATTTTAGATCAGTTTCAGAGAGAAAGTGCTCCTGCTCTACATACCAAGCAGAAAGAAATGCCTAATGATGTAAAGACAATGGGGGAAATATTTTAAAATCCTATTATTTCTATTAGAGGTAATTTTATTTACATATTTATTTATATCTATAGTGGATCTTATGTTATAATGTGTAAACCCAGGGCACAGAGAGAGTATTTGGCAATAATTCATGAGAGGTGGTACTCATGGCACATGAATAGAAAATGTTTTAGGTAATAAATCTAGATCAGGGAAAAGAAAAATAAAAAAAAAGAGAAAAAATAGGGTTAATTTCCCTTGTGCAGAACCAACAGCATGTTCACAACTGCTTTCCTGTTCACAGAAATCAACGTTTGGTACATTATGGTTGTGCTTTCGATCAATATTCCCCTGGTTCTTCATTACTTTTCCAGCTGGATTGTGCCAAGCGACCCAAGGCTCTCATATTGTGCATAATGCACACATAGTGCAGTGGTTTGGCTCTATATTTGATGGTCTTGACAACACATATGGCTGCTATCCTACAAAATGGCAGTTTGGACGAGAATATATTGTCTGACTGACTGTTAATTGACTTTCCTTTGTTTTTTCCAAGTGACCAGAGGGATGTGTGCGAATGCAGAGTTTTGTTGTGTTGAATACAGACAGAGGGCACTACCAGAAACCTTTAGTATTTGAAGAAATCTCAGCTCTGCTATCCCGTTCAAGCTACTATATCCCATGTAAATGGACGGCTGTCATGATAAATTAATGCTAAACATGTGTGCCATATTGTTCTCCCTTATTAAAAGAAATTAAGGCCAAGTTTCAAGTTTTCTTTTTCTTTCATAACTATCAAACAAGTGTTTGTAGATAAAAAAAAGAGAATGGGCTGACAATGTTTCCTCTTATCTAACAGAGCAGAAGTGTATAATTCATAGCATTTATGGCAAAAGAATATTAGCAACCTAAGGAGTCGGTAAAACCAATTAAAAATGTTTGTGGAATGAATGAAATTTGTGAATCTGACATCAACAAGTCTAAGAGAAACACTTAAAAACTTAAAAACACTAAAAAAAAACGTTTTCTTTAGGCTGGCGTATGGTAGCAAACTGGATCAAACCAGTTATTTTACCTACTGCTGGATCCAAGATTAGTTGTAGCAAGAGACCTTTTTTTAAAATTTAGGATAAATATTTTTGAAACAAATCAATAAAAATAATGTAAGCTGTTTATTTTTATTAAACTTAAATAAAATTTTGTCGAAATGACATTACTATGTCGTTTAAGGTGCAATGCATTTTGAGTAGAATAAATGAGATATGCTAGGTGCCGTAGCGCTAGCTCCCTCCAGCAAAAACAGCAATGAGTGATGTTAGACCTTTTTAGTTTAAACATTACGCTAATATCGATGATGATATAAAAATCATAAAATGTTGTGAGGATGAGGAGGACTAAATGGAGGGAGGGGGGGGGGAGTTTGGCGAAATGCTAATCCAGATGTATAGCTAGGCTAATAGGGAGCCCCAGTTTCTAATTGAGGCTAATTACACTTAGCATCAGGACCAGAACATTTTCTCAGATATATTAGAACACTGTGTTACGACTACAAGATGCTTCACTGTCACCTTAAGCCGGGCGTACTCTGAGCGATTTTTTCAATCGTTGCACGCAGCTACAGCTAACGATGTATGTGCAGCACGACGCTTTGATGCGATCTACCTGCTTATGCTGTACGTCTAAAAACCACGTCGAACTCAGTTCCACAGTTAGATGGCGCTACTCTGACTCGTCTATCCAGAAGCCAAATGAGTAGAAAAGGAATATGAAGCTAACTAGAGTGAAACGCGCTGCCTTGGCAATTTGCGCAATTTTGTGCTGAAAACCCTAAAAGGAAAAGGTGACGACGTATTTGGACAAAGACATGGCTGATAAAACGTGGCTACTACGGTCTGTCCCACTGAGCGATTTGCCCACAACGGCATTTTGTCACGATCCCTGATCGGGAGTTGGTCGTGAGAGGCTGATCGCCCACTGTACACTACACGTCGTGTAGTTTACCCCTTGTACACTACACAACGCACAATGCACGACAAGGCTGAAAGTCTTGCCGATCGGAAAATTCTCGCACGACTGGAAAGTCGCCGCGAAAAGGGCAAAAAAATCGCACAGTGTAAGCCCGACTTTAAACAGTCATTCGTTATATTCTTATTTTGATTCAATGTTAGCTTATGCTAACAGTGTTAGCTCTAGCTAATATATATAAACCCTAGATCACAAGCCAATCAAATTTGTTTGTTTCAACAGACATCTCATGTGACGCAGTGTGGCGTACTCTAAGTTTAAACCAGTCGAACGCAAACAATAAAAAAACAATGTTAGCCTTCCTCTGTTTACTCTGCAGGTTCCAGACCAGCGAGACCTAACTCATTTACCCAGGATGCATTGCACACGTAAAAAACATGGGGTAAAAACCATAACATTGGATAAATAATTTTTGAAGTATTAATGAGTTTTGTTTACAAAATATAAACAATGATTTTGAAGTTGATAGGAAAATTAGTTAACTTATTTAGGCCAAAATGTTTAACTAATCATGGATCCCTTCAATAAATTAACATAAAATTCTCTCTCTTGCACCAAGGTCCAATATTCCGATCACTAAGATGACCCACGATAATATAAACATTTAATTCTCGGAGAACACTAAATATGGCTGCACCAAAACAACCTAAATATGAGTCTTCTCATCACTCTATATCTTTCATACATTTCAAGGTAACCACATTTTGTGCAGTGTGCTCTAAAATTATCTGGGAAAGGTTTGTTAAGACTATAATAATAATAAAAAAAAAACATGTCCTGTTAAAAATACTACATAAGTTTGATGGAGAACGAATGTAGTAAATTTCTGTTTACACGTTACAGTCTTGATTTTAAAGTTTACGTACAGTTCATACTTTGTGACATGCATAACACCCTCCGCAACAACTCAAAGACAAACATCCCGTATAATTGTAAAGGTGAAGGGGGGAAAAGGCAGTTCTCACAAGGGGATATACAGCTGGACAGGAATAAAGATCAACTGGGAGAATCTAAACATTTTCCTTGGGAAAATGTCCTCATGACGAATGGATATCTGGATCGTATCCCCTGGTTTTGTGCGATCAAACGTGATGCCATAAAGGGAGGGGGATTCATCTCAGATTTGTCACGATAACAAAAGCAAACCCGGAATGTTCTATTATCTACAAAATGGCAGTTAGTCTAGACACCAACACAAGACCTCAGGAGGAACAGAGTAAGGAAGGCCAAGACAAAGACGTCCTGGTGTTACCCCGCAGAATCAAAAATGCTTCCAATCAAGGCAGAAATTGCATTTTTGAGAAGATGTCCAACAAGGATGAAGAACTCACAACTTCAAAGGTGAGTTGATCTTGCTCAAGAGAACAAAGGTGAGGGCAGACAACTCTGCAATAATGGCTAGTGGTCATTTCTATAAGTCTGTTTCAGTTGCTCACTGACCTCCAACCCTGGATGTTTAGTTTTTTTTTATACTAAGGGGGGAAAAGTAATGAAGTTACATCTATGTTGGTTTTTTGTTTAGTGTCCAGATTTATGCAAACATCTTTTATTCTGGATTATCGGGATGCAGCAACATCACAAACCGTTATAAGGGAGGATTACTCTCATGGCCAAATGTACCTCAACACACTCATGTTGTAGTTGACTGTTTAGTTGTGGATGTAGGTGAGTGGGGGGGGGTTCAAAGGGCAGGATTCGATGGACTTTGTCGCTGTTTTCTTCACAGTGTGGCTTGAACTCTGCTGCCCTTTGCAGAGCTCTTGGTGCCACACTATTGCAGGACCTGTCCCCGCGTCTCTGGTAGTTTGAGGGCGAGAAAGCTGCCTGCTGCCAGCGCGCCCGAGGCAAACAGGATCGGTACGGCCTTGGTTATGCCAACGAATGAAGTGAAGATGCTTATGCCCAGCACGGCCGCCAGTTTACACAGAGCGTTGAGGAAGCCAAACGCTGTGGTTCTATGGAAAGAGGAGAGTACAATTGCAGTAAATTGTGTGTTGGTCATTTGATTAGTAAATAAAATAAATTTAAGTCTCCAGAAAGAAGTTGTCAGGTCTCAGGAAAAAAATGGTTTCAGGTCTTGGAAAAAAGGTGGAAGGTCTCAGGAAAAAAGTTTTAGCCATTAACTTACGTGTCACGAAAACAGCAGTGCTCTTATTTTTTATCTTGACCAACCAAGCACATATTTAAAAGCCCCAATGTGCCTAAAATTATCTCAAACATTCACTCTACTTCATAAAAGTGAATTATATCAGTTTTAATCACTATTCCATCCAATGACCAACAAGGTATCATGGTAAATGGTGGGTTGTGTAAACTCTGGACTCAGCCTAAAA